AATTAGAGCGAATAGTTTCACAGTATTTGAGCGCCGAGTTGATGTAAGACATTAAATAGGGAGAATATATTTGTACAATCTCAGCAAATGAATTTCAAGTAAATCCAACGTTTCGCCTAGCAATCTGGTCCAAACGTTTTCCTTAACGAATCATAGTTTGAAATAGCTCAACATATGACACTCATGGTCTATCTTCTGTTTCGAGAAGAAAAATTTTCTGTTCTCATTCACTTCTAGAACATTTGGAATATATTTAACTAATAAATAAGCGAACGTTTGAACAATTTTAATTCTTTTATATTATGAATTCTTAATTGCCCACGATAGGGTTGATTAGAGAATACTGGTGGGTGGCCTATACTCCTCAATGAGGGGTACCACGCATAAGTAAGTCAGTAAGTAATGATTCCTTAATATTATTCTATATCCATAATTCAACTTAGTGTATTGTAAAAGTTTTTGAAATAAATTATGTACAATTGTTTCGTTTTTATTATCAATACTATTATTTTAGATTGTAAGCAGCTGAGGTGAATTTACGAAACGAATAAATTCATGTTATTCTGCTACCATAATTAATCTCTATACAAGTCTATAAATAGGTAAAATTGTATGAAGCTTAAAATATCTGAAATGGTTTTATCATAATAGTGGAATTATCCATAGTTGTTTGAGAACATGTTACTGAACTGAATTAGATGATTTGATAACAAATTATACTTTGTCGTTTTAACTCTCAAAGACTAATTTCTTTCACTTTATTAAGTAATAAAATGTAATAGTAGAAGGGTTTTGTTGATATTTTAATAGTTAAAATCATGAGTCAATTGAAGCTAGACCACCATGGAAAACCTGGAAGCACTGGACGACCGTTTCGTCCTATTGTGAGACTCCTCAGCAGTTAGGAGCTCGCGCGCGAAACTGATAAGTCCTGGGTTCAAATGTCGTGAGGCGGTATCGTGGATGCGCACTGTTGAGGTGTCGCACAATAGAACGAAACGGCCTTCCAGTGCTTCCAGGTTTCCCATGGTGATCTACCTTCAATTGACTCATGATCTCAACTATTGAAATTAATAAAAATTACTTTTGATAGTGATCACAATGATTAAAATTTAATGTTAGAGATCCTTGAAGATGAATAATACCATACAATTTATAATAGATTCTTGTGTCTTTATATAAACTGTTTTTATCTGTTTCTGTTATATCGATTGAGTATGTGAGCTGTTATATATGACGTGATGATCCCCGCCAATTAGATAGGAGTGAATTATCGACTAGAGCAATGATACACAAAAGTCAAATAAGCAGTTCCGAGTACTTATCAGTCCTGTTTTCTGCATAGCCCAGCAAGTTAAGTCCAGAACACCAATAACAGCATCTGCAATATGAATCATTATTCCCAAACATGCTGGGTTTATATACCAAACGAACTGACTACATCGTACCATAAAATAGAAAATAACATTTGTACAAGATTTGGCCAAATGTGGTTGTGAGTAGGGGGAACAGTAATCAATAGACAGGGCATAACTCATGAATGGTAAATCGTACAGTAGTAGTCTGTAGGTCAAAATAAAGCTCATAATAAGGGAAACATAAATATAAATAGTTTAGTTACTTAATAGTTATACAATAGGAAATATACGCATCATATCGGTCCATAAACAGTCCTCAAAGTTACCATTCATAATTCTCCACGGGATATAACAGTTTCTAAGATATTGGCATATAGTATTAAAACAATTTGATTAAATTCCAATAAAAATAGTGTGTCGTCAGAATTGCCGACAAAATTTAAAGCTTTAAGAGAATATTTGAAGCAAACACTAAAATATTTAACACGTAAATCGACCACTATGATATAAAATTCATTATCTTTGGAGATATTAAAGTATCCTAGACCACTTCAATCATCTACAGTCTTAGAAATCTAGTAAGTTTTTAATCAAAAAATACTCATCAGTTATGTAAGGGACAATTTTTGATAAATGATATACTTTTTAATGTATGATCAAGACTAAATACCCATACTATTCAGATCTTATTAACACACTATTAAATTTTTCAAACTGCGTAAATCACAGAGTAAAGGTTTTTTTTAACTTGTTTGGAATTCATGCGATTGTTAATACAAGCTCAATCACATAAGCGTTACTTAAGTATTCAATGAGTTTTAGTGTTGTATTCAGCATGGTTAGCAGATTTTTTAATCGTTCGCTTGATCTAACGTTAATCAACATGTATACTACGTTTGCTTTAAGACAAGCTTAATCTATGTAGATACACATGTAACGAAATAAGTTATTCATGAATAAGTGAACATGTTTCACTAGGGAATAATGTATTTACAACATAAAGGATAATAAAGAAGCGCTTTTACCGAAAAAGGTTTTAATATTACAGAAATAATCAACTAATACTTGAATAGAGAATTGAATGAAAATAAAATGGTCAGTTCTTGTCAAAATCATCTTATTCACGAGTTAATCAGAATTTTCAATCAAAATCTCGAACTTACACTTGGAATACAATCTGGTTTGAGAATATGAATATATGCCCAACTCATATAAAATTGTTATATCCTGATGAGAATTATGATTGGTAACTTATGAGAACTATTTATGGACCAATATGATACATATATTTTTATTGTATAACTATGAAGTAGCTAAACTATCAACATTCATGTTCCTCTTATCCCGGATTCGAGCCCCTTGTGTGAAGTCGTGGATGCGCACTGCTGATTAGTCCCATACCAGGACGAAACGGCCGTTCAGTGCCTCAAGGTTTCAAATGGTGATCCAGCTTAGATTGCCCCCTGAATCAACTGTTAAAATACTACAATCTCCACAAATCCTCATAGTGAAAATATGATTTTGTGTGTAACATGCATGAAAATGAGCGAAAAATAATCATAATTGTTTCGCATATTCAAATAATTCTAACTTAAAGCTGAATGGAACAGGTGAGAGAGAGAGACCATGATGTAACAGAACGAGAAAAATGTACAAATTATTGTGGCTGACAAATTTGATGATCATTGTAGATAATAATAATAAAGTAACAACAATAATAATATTAATGGTGATAATAATGTTAGAAATCTCAATTACTGTGATAACTGCATTGACAAAGGTTTAGACATTGCAAACTATAATACAGTTGAAAATTGATCGAAGAACCTTAGTCGAAATTTGTTATCCAATGAAGCTTATAAATTACTTTAATTTTACTAACAAGATGCCATAACAAGTCATTTATCTGATGTTTGTGTTTATAAAACCCATTCAAATGGGATGATCTTAGCGCACAGAATACGTATCAATTAAAGTACAGCATCTGACAGACTTTTTCTCATGCCGACTTAATAATTACATGCGAAATAACATCCTCGTTAAGAAAATCTTAGGTAATAGATCTCCAGTTGTTCCTTACTGGAATTACCTGTTCATATATACCTGAAGTTGAGTGTACTTTGAAAGGACAGTAATGGTATAATTTTTAAAAATCTCATGGCTCATACCAACAGGTTTTGTGAGTAGTTTCTTTGAACGACCCACTAGTGTCATATAAAGATATATAGTGAATAGGGGTCATTAAGTAGATTCTAGTACATCGTTTCGATTGATAAATAGGTAGAATTATGACACACAACAACTTCATAAAGAAATGGTAGCTAATCGACGCGTCAACAACAATCTATGTATTCAAAAAGAGATTACGGTTCACTTAGGATTTCCATGGTATTTGATTTACTCCCATTCTACCTTCAATTACTTTTCCACTCAATCTCAAACTATTATTATTTACATTCACTTGGTATAGTTTGTTTGAATCTTCCACTGCTAGCCACTGTCCATCTTTGCTTATAATGTTTGTGAATTAAGGCTATATCGAGGCAATATGCACAATATGCACATATGCCAATAAGTGACTGATCAATTGCAGTCCTAAACATCAATGGGAAGATTCAAACAAACAATACTAAGTGAATTTAAACGTCATCTCATTTCACAAGCAAGTGGCTATCATGACTCAGTAGCTGAGTAGATAACGCGATGACGTTTGAAGCGAAAGGTACTGGGTTCGAGTCCCAGAGTGAATATCAACTGTGAGACGCAGATACATCCAGCTGAAGAGTCCCAAATAGGACGAAACGCACGTCGAACTGGATTCCACTGCTAGCCACTATCCATCTTTGCTTATTATTATTATTGTTGTTGATATTTCAAAACATTTTTTATGTTTCGTGCAAACTTTTATTTAATAAAAATAATATCTTTATTTGATCATTTCTGTCAGTTTTTTGCTGCATATTTACAGTCATAAAAATCATCTTTACTATTCCAACATTATTCAACAAAATATTTGACGTCCGATCAATTTAACCATTCAAGCAATTACGTCTACAACATTATAATCACTACCACCGCCACCACCATTATCATTATTATTATTATTGCCTCATTATCATCCTTTGCATTGACCGTCAAATTTATTAATTTGTTCACCATAATCACAATAATTTGTACATTTTTCTCGTTCTGTTACATCATGGTCTCTCTCTCTCACCTGTTCCATTCAGCTTTAAGTTAGAATTTTTTGAATATGCGAAACAATTATGACTATTGTTCACTAATGAACTAAATCAATCTTATACATGTTACATACAAAATTATTTGATTCCACAGTGTTAGTTGTTCTACCTTAACAACAAATTTATGCTAGAACACACAACAATGATAACTAATTGGAGCCAGCTTCTTCGACTACAGCATTATGTACTACGAGTAGATATTTTCACATATACTTTACTCATGAATACTTACGGCGTGATGTTTATGTTAAATATGATGTTTGCAAAGGATAATTGTGACTTTAAAGATAAAATTCATATTCTCATCAAATTTTTTATAATAATATTTATTAATTACAATCTTACATATAAACATGAACACAAATATTTAGAAATAATCTAGATCAGTGGAAGAACTTGCCATATTTCATTGAAAAATTGAACGGATTTCATTCTATTCCTATCCTATATTTTGATAACATAACACTATTCACCATATCCACTGGAATCTGATACAACATGTAATTTTACAACTGACCCTGTAGTTTCAATAGGATAAATGCAGTTACTATTATTTAAATATTCACATTCTATCACAGTATCATCTGGTTTAGATAAGATTTTTGTACTACCTGTAAATATATCACATGGTTGACAACATAAAGGCTGTAAATTTACTAGTTTTATAGAAACTGGTACAAAAGTTGTCGTTGTATTTTGTTCTAACATTTCATTAGAACATGTTGGTAAATTTGTATATATAGGCTTTAAATATGATTCATTATCTATTAACATTTGAGGTTTTTGTTCAAATTGTGCTCTTGTAAATGTTTGTAATTTTAATAATTCACAAGGTGGAATTATAGTATCCGTAGATGATTGATAACATTGTGTTGTAGATGATAATGAAGCAGTAATAGTACTTTGATTACCAAGATCATCAATAGTAGTTGATGATATATGTGATCCAATTGGTACTGCAAGTTTAGAAAGATTAATATAATCCATTTTTATTGATTTATCATATGAAATTTCGGAGTTTCCACTACATATATCTTTGTTTAGTATCTGCTTCAAATCACTTGGTTCATGTATTCTACAGCATGATAAGTAAAATAAATTATGACAACGTCTTAAAGTAAAACATATAATCGGTACAAATGTAGTAATAAATATTTCCATTAATATACAACCTTGTAAATATTGATGAGGAATGTGTAAATGTTCATGTACTAATTGAAATAATTTCATATTATCAGATTTATATAAACCTTGATTAAAATTCCATGAATCACAATAATTCATTTGAGATCTCATTAAATTCCCATAAATGATTAAACGTATAAAATGATTAATTAATAAACATAAACTTAATATAGTTAAACTTATTGAAAAATAGAAAATTTGATAAATTTTTTTTATTTTATTTAATTGTAATGTTTGTTTATCTTGTACATGATCTTCGGATTGAGACTGTCGTCTAGGATGTTGAACCGAAAGGTCACATTGATAAGTTAAATATGATGTTGTTGTTGTTGTAGATATATTATTACATAATTCTGTGATTATTATTGAATCTTTATCAATTTGAGGTGAACATCTTAATTCTTTTGATAGATTATCTAATTTCATTAGATTCCCATTATGATTAATAATATCATTACTACTACTATTATTACTGTTATGAGTAGTAGTATTATTATTACAAGTTAAAGATTTCATTATTTGTTTCATTGAATGATTACGTAATTTAAATGATAAAAAACAATTAAATATACTAATACTAAATACTAAAAAATTTGGTAATATATCACTTAATATATTTGTAATAATTTCAATCCATTGTTCAATGGTTGTTTGATTACATATAGTATGAAAATATAATTTTTGATATTCAAAATTTTTTGTTAGAATACATTCAAAATTTAAAATTTGTTTAATTGGTGTAGGATTTGAATGTGTTAAATGTTTCATTGTAAATTTTTGTAAATTATAATTAATTAATAGATTACTTATACGTAGAACAATAGAAAAGATCCATGAAATGATGAAACTTATATATAAAATAACAAAGATATTATGAATGTATGGAATGGTTGAAGTATTCATCAAAGAAATGGATTTGATATAATGTGTATTGATAAGTATAATAATAAATATAGTAATCCAATAGACTGTTAAAAGTCCAAGTAGTATATGTCTTGTAAAATAACATAATAAATAATTTCGATGAATTAAATTAGTTTGATCTAATGTAGTTGTTGATTTAGGATCTATCAAAGGACTTGATAATTGTTTCATTGATATAATAAATCCATAAATAGTACCTACAAAACCTAAATGTAATTCTGAATGTATTGTTAATTGATAATGTTTAACAAATAAATCATTTTCATTTATCTGTCCTATTCTAGAATGAGAAACTGTTATAAATTGAAAACTACTGGGTTGTTGACAAATTTTAAATAATACAGTATGACATATTAACCATATAAACCATGTAACATGTACAATAAAACACAATAAACCAAATGAAAATTGTAATATATTCCAAATAAATGATGAATTGGATGAAGTATGAATTCGTTTAAATGAAGGACTTTTTACATTTGTACTTTTTGAATTTTGAATTGTTTGATCAAGAAAATAATTCTTGTAATTAGTTTCTTGATTATCATCAGTGATTGCATTAGTATCACTGCTATAATTTGTTAAAATTAACTCATTATTATCATCTAATTCATTATGGAAACTTGTTAGATTGTTTTGGTAACCATTTGTAACATTGTTTAAATGAATAGTTCTTTGATGAAACTTTTCATTATTCATTTTATAAACATAATTATCTAATGCAGTTTTTAATATATCAATATCATAATGTTGTGTATGTCGTTTAGCTAAACGTAATGTAGTTTGCCATGATTCAGTATTGAATAATTTCATATGATGAATTATAATTATTATGATAACCATTGTAATATTCAATAAATTATTAAATAAACTATTTATCCTCATTTGATTATATCGAATAGTTGTGAAACATTAATCATCAGTACGTTTGGGGTTATTTTTTTGTTTCCTTGGGAATTAATTTTTATTTAACATATGATTATGAAAATCTTTATTTATTAGAAAAATGTTTTCATTTTTTGAAAATAAAAAAAATTACATGATGAAAATATGTCTGATAGTTGAAATAATAAACAATAGAGAACAATGAATAATCATATATCTTCAATAAGAATGACTAGCCAATCATGTGGAGAGTTTAATTAACCAATAGAAATGAAAGAAATTCCAACCAATGAATTAAATGATTTTAAATAAATAATTTAAAATGAGAGTATATTTTTTTCAGATAAATAATTACATAATTTATTGAGTTGTTATTAATAGGTTGTAGTTATTATTATAATAAAACGAAACGTCCATCCTTTGCTTCCATGTTTTCCATGGTGGTCTCGCTTCAATTGACTCATAATCTCAACTTTATAAAATTAATATTAACTGTTGTTAATTAAAATATGCAAACAATATTACTGTGGAAAACGATGTAATCTATAAAAGAAAGTTATTACTATCTAGCGTTATATGGATAGTTGTTTGGTGTAAATATTCAGATCTCATATCTTTTGTTCATATCAGAAGGGAATTTCGTGCATATTATAGTAATTTTAATAGTTGAGATCATTAGTTAATTGAAACTAGACCACCATGGAAAACCTGGTAGCGCTGGATGGCCATTTCGTCCTATTGTGTGAATCTTCAGCAGTGCGCACCCACGATCCTGCCTTTATTCTTTATTCAGTAGGTTAGAGTTAGGACTGTTTTTTTGTATTAACATTCATGAAAATACAATAATGTTGTTTTCAGTAAAATACTCTTTCATTCTTTCCACAAACAGATTTTTTTCTCATTAAGATAAAAATTAATTGCTTACTGATTCATAGTCCCCTACGAGGTTTTGTTTACTGCGGCTTCCAACTTTTACACAGAAAATACAATGCAAAAGTTAGTTACATTTCATCTGATTTTTATTTAAATTTTGTATCCCATAATTATATTAATGTTACATAGATTTTGCTAAATAAAATTATTGGCTTATAGAAGAATAAACTTGATGATTTGTTCAGTGAACTAAGGAATGTTCTCTAAATGCCATTTCGGACTGATTATTTGACAAAATTATCTATTAAGACTTGTCGTCAAAATATACATAGGCAAATAAACTATTGTACAACAGGTAGAAGGTTCAATAGGTCATTGAAATATTTGTCTAATGAGCCTAAAATTTAATTATAATATTTAAAGAATGAACAAGAAGACAAAGGTGTTTTAATTCACATTCTTTATATCTGTGTATTTAATAGGAATTTTTTGTGTAGATCACTTGAATCCATGGAATTCTATTGATCATTTTTGACATTTTTGTTAATGAGAGAATACAAGTAGCTGATAAATGTTCAATAAACTTGAGCCATTTTGATTAGAGCAAAGCAGAAAATTTACGAAATGTCTCAAAGCTTACTTCATAAAAAAGTGTTCAACATCTGCCACCCAACTTTAGTGTGAGGTTATTTATCCGCTCTTGATTGTTTAACAGATGTACGATATCAGGTCTATTAGGTTAATTTCCTCTTCATTTAGTATGTAAGTACTGCATTTAAAAGTGCTATTTTCATTGAAAATTTCATTTTTAAGTCGCAAATTTTAATTTATTTGCCTTACGCCGAGGTGTAATTAACTACGGTTGTCTAAAATGAAATCCTCAATGGAAATTAGACTACTATTAAGAACACCAAACCGCTTGTTGTATTAAAAATGTGAGAAAGTGATGTGAACCATACATATACTGAAAAATGAAAAACAGATAAACAACTTCATATCAACTCTAAAATCATATAATTTCAAGGTGACCTACACTTATGCTTGATTGGTATGACGCGGTTAGCATTTTTTTAGCGAGTTAGCTTTTCTACGGGATGTGGTCGCTAACCCCATGCCCAACCCTCCTCCTTTACCCGGGCTTGGGACCGGCAGTAACTCTGGAAGAGCTACAGTCGGAGTTTGACAGTCGAGTTAAAATCATTTAGTATTCTATTCACAATAAGTTTGTAAAGTAACCATTTTCTTTAGACCTTAATTTGTGTTACTGCACTGAAAGGAATAAATACATCATCTTCACTCATGACTATATGTATAAATTAAACATGTATATATGTATAAATTAACAAAATAAACGAAGGACGTATACTAATTCGTTATTGGTTTTCATGTCCGGCTTTTATTTACGTGAATTATCCGCCAATGGAAATACAACTTCTTCGACCTTAACACTGTGGCAATCGATGACGTTCGATCAGTATGGGTAATCTAGCGTCCTTATTGGTCCTTTGTCCGCCTAGCCCTTCCAGTTGAGTCCAGAACACCAATGACAGCTTCTGTTATGCGAATCTATGCAAATCGTTTATTTCAAGCATACTTTGTTTATATATCAGACAGACAGACCACATCACACCATCAAATAGAAAATAATATTTGTACAAAATCAATCCAAATGTGGCTGTGAACGTGGGAGATAGTAATCGATAAACTGAGTATAATTTAGGAACAGTAAATCGTATAATAATATGTCAATAGGTCAAAATGAAGCTTATAATAAGATGACACAGATAATCTAGTTACTGAATAGTTATACAATAGGAATATATACAGAATAATAGTCCAATAATAGGTCCCGTAAGTTATACGAACTTACTTCTTCCCTAGGATGTAACAATAATAATAAAAATGCTCCTTTCAATACAGTGTGAAGAAACCTAAAATTCATAGCTCCCTTAAATCTAGCAACATCTACTATATCCATATTTTTAAATGATTAGTAAAAGTTATTCATATATAGGACTGTTTGTAAAATCAGAATAAATTGGCAAGCATTAGGGGATGTAATAATCATTTTTATTGGATAAAACAGTTCTGATTTGTATTATTCTGTTTTTTTGAACATTTACATTAGACTTAGTGTTTGACCAGTTCAATTTTGGTATGATCAAATAAATTAAATGAAAACACTGTGTAACATTAAGACTCACCACAGTATATTTAAGCTATTTAATGATAATTATCATTTTTGGCAATAAAAATTAATTTTTTGAATTTTTCAGAATTCTGATGAGCTTTTATAATCCTCAATTCAACAATTGATTTGAATCTAGTAGTTAACAGAGAGGCAATTCAAATGTAAACTAAAGAAAGTAGATGGATCTTTCTAGTACATATATCAAGACATAAATGTCATCATTAGCTTATTTCACAAGCTCGCTTCGAAGCCACATATGATATGATATAACAAGATTATCCATTTAAACATTAACTTGTAAAGTATTTTTCGAAGGAAACTCATTTTCACTCTTTTAGTAAAGTTCAATTTTGTCTAGCAGTAGAATCCAGAACTTCAGTTTCATTCCATTTCAGGCTCATTAGCTGATATTCACATCAGGATTCTAACTAAGTACTTGTCTCTTCAAACGTACATCGTATTATTCATTAGGCTATTTAGCTTATTCAGACAATTATTTGGTCACTGGTTTTAAAGTTATCTACACAAATGATATGTATGTATTTTGGTATTTACGTTTCTTCGTTTTTTGATATTATAAACTACATTTGATCACTCTGAACATTGTTGTGGACATTAACATTGTGGTCCAGATGGATCATCCTGTTGGATACCAAATATTGCCACTATGAAATTGTAGAGATTGATAAGTTTCTTTAAAATTATAAAGTGATCCAAGTTAGACCTGAAAGTACTGGACGGGGGCTTCGTCCAAGTAGGAAACCCCTCAGCAGTGTCCATCCACTACCCGCATATGGGAATCAAAATCAAGACGTAACCTCTAGATCACTTAGCCGGATCGATTGAAGATAGATATATTTGAATGCCGACGACATCGGAGCAATTCTCTAAAAATAGACATATGTTTATATAGTGTTATGGAGTGGACTACATATATCCACACAAGTAGTATATAACGATGGTCGGGCATTGAATGTATTTCACTAGACCGTCGATAAAGAAAGAACGGAAACGAAACACAGTTGGTATGGAAAAGCATGAACCATAATAATTGGAGACTATGAACTGATACTTGCAGATGGAATGGTCAAGATTGCGGCAATTGATTGATAGTTTGTAAATTAACTGTTTACTGCATGGTTGTCAGATTTTAGTGAGATACTCTGTATTTTTCGTGTCAAATAACTTCGGTTGTCCACATTCGTTTTCTTGTTCATTACAGTGTGACTAAATACAGTCCCGAATATCAACAATGAAAAAACCGAAACCTTATAAGTACAACATTTTAACCGTGTTTAAAGTTTTCATGATACTGCTGAATTGTTACTTATCCACTTAATCTTACTGTTGTTATAGGCGGATCGTTTTTATACCATCTCTTTATCATCAATATTACATATTACCATTGATTGTTTCTGATACCCCCCCCAAAAAAAATTGTTAAATTATTTACGTTTTTGTAATAAGATAAAAGGAATTTTTTTTCCTTGGAACGAATTACTAAACTCTAACGTTTTAAGTATTTTACGAGATTAGACAAATGGCATAGATATTAAGCATATATTAATAAAATACTAAACCTTAATGGTAGGTAGAATTACATTTACATTCACGTTTCATGTATTATATCTTAGTAAAAAAACAACCTTAATTAGACAAATAGAAACAATCATTCGTTTTTTGATAATATATTGAAGGTATATTTTGTAGAGAGACTACTGAAACTACTTGTTTAATCTTACCAAATACAAAAGAATTTATAGTTTATATTACCGCATATTCATAATAAGATCTATAAGGAGAACAAAGTACTTTGATGATAATCCACTTGAACTATACTAAATGACAAATATTAGTTTTTTTTTAAAAAAAATAGATAGATTTAGTAACCATTTCTCTTTTATAAGTAACTGAAAGTGTTCAGAATAATACAAACCATTTTATATAATGACAAATGATTAATTATTTGAATTGTCGGCAATGTATAACCATTTTTGAAAAAAAAATCAAACAAAATTTCAATAAAGCAAAATATACTCGAATAATAGAACGAATATAATCATACATTTTACTATGGTAATACTCTTTTCAATAATGAATAAACAACGCTTTAGTTA